CACATATTGAATGAACAAGCTTGAGGGGACACCACACCATGCCGTGAATCTCAAGGTGAACTTGCGCGACCAGTCTTTAGGTTGTCAGATGACTTCACACAGCTTCTAGTCTGCAGACGCAAGATGTGCTAGAATGGCCATGTCCAGAATAGAGTGAGATTATCAAAAAGCACATCCCTTAGCAATATTAAAACTGTCCATATCCTATTACCATTATGTTTCTAGATTACTGAAAAAAACAGCTTATCACTGCTTAAAGGGCATAAAAAGCAAACAAACGGTGAGTTAGAATATTCTTAGGCAAAGCCAAGTGCTAAACATGAATGTACCTGTTGATTAGTGTCTCATGACTCAAAGTTTTAGTCATCTGCGTCTCTAACAAGACAGCATGGTGGGAGTTTTGGTGAATTTTGACAAAGCATCAGCTGCATTCATGGTCATCTGCAAAACATTTCAAAACATGAAAAACAAGTTTAAGTCCATGTTATCACTGCATAATATTTAATTACACTAATGTATGTTCTTAATGTCAAATTTCTAAAGTTAAGTTCAAGCCAACAGGCACGAAACTTCAACGACAAAATCATCAAATTGAATATTTCCTCGACACGTAACCATTAAAATCTGCCTGAATATCCCATTACCATCAGTTTCTAGATGACATATTAAATCTGCTAGGACTTCTGATTCACACAGATTACCATCATAACATATGTACAGCTGAAACCAGAAGTTTACATACACTGTATAAAAAGACACATATGCTTTTTCCTCACTGTCTGACATGAAATTAGACAATCACTTTTCCTGTTTTAGGTCCGTTAGGATTACCAAAATTATTTCTATTTGCTAAATGCCAGAATAATGAGAGGATTTTTTAGAACATTTTTTTTTATTAATTTCTTCAAAGTCAGAAGTTTACACACTAAGATTATTATGCCTTTAAACAATTTGGGAAAGCCCAGATGATGACAAGTGTCTTTTGGAAGCTTCTGATAGGTTTATTGACAACATTTGAGTTAATTAGAGACACACCGTGGATGTATTGTAAGGCACACCTGAAACGCACTGCTTCTTTGTGTAAAATCATGGGAAAGTCTAAGAAATCAGCCAAGATATCAGGAAGAGAATTGTGGACTTGGTACGCTGGTTCACCTTTGGGTGAACCAGATGCCTGAAGGTGCCATGTTCATCTGTTCAAATAATTATAGAAAACACCAGGCAGTGTCTACATCATACCACTCAGGAAGGAGACGGGGTTCTGTGTCCCAGAGTTGAACGTGCTTTGTCTTCAAATGTGCATATCAACCCAAGAACAAAAGCAAAGACCTGTGAAGATGTGGCTGGCTGGTAAGAGTGTGCCTTTATCCACAGTGAAACTAGTACTGTACCGATATGGGCTTCATGTCACTCTGCTGAATAAACAATACCCAAAAGACACATAGGAAAGCCAGATTACAGTTTGCAAATGCACACAGGGACAAAGACCTTAGTTTTTGGAGACATGTCCGTGGTCTGGACGAAACTAAAATCAAACTGTTTGGCCATAATGACCATCAAGTTTGGAGGAAAAAGGGGAAGCTTGCAAGCCTGGAGAACACTACCATCCCAACTGTGAAATAGAGGGATGGCAGCATCATCTGTTGGTTGATATACACATTTCGGACCAAAGCACGTTCAACTCTGCACAGAACCCGTCCCCCTGAGCGGCATGATGGCTGGACATTCCCATGGTGTTTATACTTGCGTATAATTGTTTGAACAGAGGAACATGGCACCTTCAGGCATCTGGAAATTACACCCAAGGATGAACCAGACTTGTGCAAGTCCACAATTCCCCTGATATCTGGCTTTTCTTTGATTCCATGATATTGCCCAAAGAAGTTAGTGTGTTTCAGTGTGCCTTAAAATACACCAGTGTGTCTCTAATTAACTCAAATGCTGTCATCAACCAATGAAGCTTTCCAAAGACATGACATCATCATCTGGGCTTTCTAAATTGTTTAAAGGCATAGTATCTTAGTGATGTAAACTTTGACTTTGAAGAATAATAAAAATTGTCTCAAAAAACTTTTCATTATTCTGGTATTTAGCAGATAGAAATAATTTTGGTAATCCCAGACCTAAACAGGAAAAGTGATGTCTGATTTCATGTCCGACAGTGAGAAAAAAAAAGCTGCATATGCCTTTTATAGTGTATGTAAACTTCGGTTTCCAACTGTAAGACAAAGTAATACATTTTCAAAAAAAACAGGACATTACGAATGTTAATTAGTCTGTGGCAATATGTCCTAAAAACACAATTGCCAATTATTAGTGCATTTGATGGCAGCTTTATTGACCTAAGCTTATCTAATGCATCCTGAAGTTTTGCAATTAAATGTCTCAAAATCATTTTCAATATGTATATGAAGTGAACATGCTGAAGGGCATCCTTAAGAGGACTGACCTTGGTGGCATTTAAAACTGCAGAGAAATGTTTAATGAGACAGCTTTGGCTTTAGTTCTATTACAATACAATTAGAGGCTCTAAGTGAACATCCACACAGGTGTTTTCAGTTATTATGGCTGATTAGACCTCTGCTCAGGTTTAGGGTGGGCTTAAGCTTTGATGAAACTCCATGAGGTCACAAATCTAAATCTCCAATACGAATGGTGAAGGTATATTTTGTCCTGCCCTAACAGGTGTAACAAAGCTGACAGAAGACTCAGGAAGATGTCAATCAATCACAGTATACACACCCATACAGTCCCAAGAAGACTAATAATCAGCAAGATAAACTGAAAAAACTGTGTGGGTGTTCAGAGGCTTAGCTCTATAACTTTTTCCCCATACTCGCCCTTTCCTGTCGGCTCAGTGTCAGATGCCTTCCCTTCTTGCCATGCCCTATTCTAAATTATTCATTTTTAATAATAAAATAATATTAATAATTATAAGTAAGCTAAGTTTACTTTTTTCTGGTAGTAAAATCAATCAGGACCCATTTATGTAGAGGAGGCATGTGGAATCACTTCACTAGTCACTTTAAAGATACAAACATCAAATTGCAGCCTTGTCAAGCTCAGGTCCCAAAAATACCTGTCCAGATGCACTTTCTCTTAACATGGACAGCTTGCTTTAAATCATCAAAACATCTCTTTACAATTTTTCTATAATATATCTCACCTATATATACCTAGGATTAAGTTACACCTCTATATATTACTAAATTCATTACCTGGAAATGTATTTTAAATTTCTCTGTTACACACTGAAAAATATTTCACTTTTTTTAGTTGGTATAAACTCCTTGAAATGCACATAATCCATCCATCATGTAACAACTAACAGTAGCTTTCAGGGAAAGCTAAAAACATTGTTAGTAAAACATTGTAAATTTGCTAGTTACACTAGCCTTCTGTTGCTAATTAAAGCTAACTAGCTATCCTACTAACTAATTAACACTAATTAACCTCATTAGTGGTTTAAAATGGTCATCTATACAAATAATGATTATAGCAAGTAAGTAAATAAGATAATATTGCTTACCTTGTGGTGTTGTAGTTCCTCTTTTTATGTGACAAACATCTTTAATTGAAGGGCCTTTGCGATGCTCCCTTTAAACACTGAAAATTGTGTTTGCTCCTAAAATCCTTCTTAATGGGGACCAGGAAGTGGGCGGTAACATACCATATTTGGAAGATCTGTGTGTGTGGAACGGTGAGTGCCTTACCAGCTCATACAGTAGGGGGCGCAAGCATGCCCCGTTCACACACACACACTAACTGGAAAACATGCCCAATGGGCCAAAGCTAAAAACCACACAGGCACCTTCAGATAGACTCCTGCATTCATTTAAAAGAGTTTCCCTTTAGGGGACCTCATTTTTCGTCCCCATACTGTTAGAGGTCCCCATGACGTGACTGTGTAAACAGTTTGTTGTCCCCAGGACGTGATGAATGCCCACACACACACACACACACACACACACACACACACACACACAGTGTTTCTCTATCTGCAGGGTCATTCTTTCTGTCACCCTGTCTCTTGAATATGCTCCCCCCTCTCCCCGTCCGGCCCACACAGACTGTCCAGACGTCTTAAACTGCCAGGACAAGTGCACTGTTCAGGCTAGTCACAGTCTGCCCTAGAGTCCTGCATGGACCAATCAGAATCCAGTAAATACCCTGTCAAGGCACATTTAAGAATCACTATTCAGCATGTTATATAACAATATGGAGATGACTTGATACCAGTGGAGGTTTTGCAAAATAACTGCATGTGTTCAACAGGAGAGAGGCCTTTAACAATGCAAGCCAGATATTTAGTGTCTAACAGACCCCTTTTAGTCTAACGCGTAATGTATATCAAACTCTGACTAGATAGTAAATGAATGACCTTGTAATATTTAAATTTAAGAAAGAATACAACAAACGTGGCAGTCATTTTCCTAGACAGTTCATCCAGTGATCAGCGTCCCCTTTAATGCCACAGCACGACTGAGGATTCAGACAGCAGGAGATGAGTCGTGGCTTACTGAAGCAGAGGGGGTTGCATGTGTGAGACTTCAGTGAACGTGGTCCCTCCTGTGCAACACACGGGAGACGGGGTATTGAGTTACTGACGGTGGGCTGATTCGTATAATATGTTGAGGACTAAGCTGGACATCGTTCTGCTTCAGTAAAGTTTGTCCCCAGCCTGATTTCTATCTGCAATAGCACTCAATAATTTAAGTTTTGATTGTATTCAAAAGGGAGGAAAGGTTTTCTCTTTCTTGTCTGTCTGTTGCCAAGACAGATATCAAATACAATTATGAATAGATTTCCATTAAATAGTGCACAGCAGGTAATCTTGAGCAAAGTAAAATATTACTTGATTTTGGTGGTTATTCAGGCTTGATGTACCCTATACGTTTGTGATCTAGTAGGCATGACTTTTTGGTGGAGGTTTGCATTTTCCATGTTTTTGTCTCATGTCCAGCCACTAACTTCAAAACACTCTCTCTCTTTTTACCTAGTGGAGCTGGATGCGGAGCATGCGCAGAGAGTCCCAGGGGCAGAACAGGGAGGGGTCCCACCCACCCAGGTCAAGCTGAAAGAGAGGCAGAAATTCTTCGAGGAGGCCTTCCAGCAAGACATGGAGCAGTACCTGTCTACTGGCTACCTGCAGATCGCTGAGAGGAGAGGTGAGAGGGAGGAGCGCTGAGGTCAGACGTTCCTCGCAGATGCCATGGTCTCTTTGATTACATTTAAACAGCTTGAAATTGAGCATTTGTTGTGGTCTTAGGCCTGCAAAGGAAAAAGAAAATTCTTGAGGTTTAGGTCATGGTGTCTGTAACTCATTTGAGGGTGAATGCAAAGCTGTCCAGCATTCAAATGAATTAATTCCAGCGTCTGATACCATCAGCGGAAACCTTCACACTTCAACTGCATATCACAAGATTGAGCCATAATAGCTTTGTGCAGCGAGGCTCCACACTCCACTCCACACACTGACTGCCTGTCGCTAAACACACAAGTAGAGCCATTACTTTGAAAAATGCCACAGCGCCATATAGATGTAGTCTTCCACTGGGATTGTAATAGAATCCTGCTGCAGTTTACCCCATGTATTACTGCCAAAAGCCTGCGCTAAAATACCCAAAGGATGTGTTGAAATGAGGGACTGCCCTGCACTAAAAGATGGATGGGACTGTACTGGTCCAGAGTTTGTAATGTGAATTTTCTTCTTCTTTTGCTCATCTATCCTGCTCCCTTAATCCTCTTGAAATGGCTTTTTAGAGAGGATTGTGGAACAGTTAGGAGGGAGGAGAGATGGAACGAAAGGAAAGAGACTTTAAGGAGAAGATAGGAAGAGAATGTGAGAGACTTATGTTTTCACTGTCATTCGAAAAAGCTTTCTTTTTTTTTGCAGTGTTCTTCATAATGGACCTCCATGACAAAAAACACCAAAGCCAGGTTTCGAGGCACAGGGAGGAAATATTCACAGCTCATTTTTCAAAGACTAGTCAGAATCTTGTGTAGCATACATTCATTCATGATTTGTAAAAAAAGACCAAGGAGATGTTTACATTTAGATTTCACACTTCAAATGATGTGATTCACAGTACAAAGGCAAGCTTGTGGAGCCGAATTAGAATCACCCAGCCATAATTGCTGTAAGAATATTTGTAATCATTTACAGACGAGGCTTGCATCATAATTCGGGTTGAAACACAACTGAGGAATAAAGCTACAGTGTGAGGCCTGTGGCTCATTATCCTTATCGCAGCTACAAATACCTACAGCAGGGCGGCGCCACTGAAGAGCAAAGATGCAGCTGGAGACAGTGAGAAAAAGGGGGGAGAGAGATGCAGAGAATAAACTGTAAGGAGATCGTTGAGAAAAAGAGAGAAAGGGCTGTGGATGTCATGAGCCACTGAGCCATCAAAAGCCAGTCTCAAGGGTCTCATACACACTCTCTCTCTCACACATGCACACATACACACACACGCACACACACACACACACACACACACACACACACACACACACACACACACACACACACACACACACACATATGCTCTCTGCAGTCTCACAGCAGACAAAAACAGTCCTTCCCAGCAGGAGAACCTTTTAGGCAGGGTCACAGTAGGGCTAAAAGAAGAACATGTTAGAGGCAGTCACATGGAAATGATCAACACAGTGCTTTCTGGACCAAGACTTTTACATCATAGATATAGCGTTGGTTGTAGAGTGTGTGTGTGTGCGTGTGCGTGTGTGTGCGTGTGCGTGTGTGTGTGTCATTTGTTCATTTTTGTTCATGTGCTAGAGAGACAGCTCCATTTGGGGCTGAAAACTGAATCAACATCCTCCATACTATGTTTTATGAGGCTGAATAGCTGCTGTGTGGTGGTAATTGCGTGGCTGACAGGCGAGATATGGAAATGCACATGAGAAGAGGCCGCATACTGAGAATTCATTAGCGAGCATTAAACCGAAGTTCCGCTAAGATGTGTCACAGAAAAAAACAGCACTGCTGCCTCCACAGAAAAAGAGAGAGGATGCCATTAATGTTTATATTACTGGATTGGTGAATAAAGTGAGAGTGCAGGAGTGATTTTGCATGCGTGTGTGTTTTAAATAATACACAACATCTCCATTTGTGTGTGTGTTTATACATTCGAATCACCTTGCATAAACTGCATTTGTAGAAAAGTTGTGAGTGATCTCAAAATCTGATGCTCATTTGTGTTCCTGTGTGCGATCTCTGGTACGTGTGTTGCTATCTAAAGGAAAGGGGGACTTTTGTGGCATTCTCCATGGGAAATAACATTCCCCTTCTTTCTCTCTTTCTTCACTCTTCTGCTCTTCCTCCCTGTGCCGCCCTTCTCTGCTCTCCTCATTTCCTTGAGGTACGGTAGCCAATGGCACATTCTTCCACTGCTGTGCGCCGACCAGTCATCTCCCTTCTTCCTCTTGTGCTCGCAACTCCTTCCATCCCCACAGTGCACTGACTGGCTGTTTGTGACGCATGCAGCACATCATGATAGTGAACAGGGGGCGGTTTTATACGCCTGCAAGGTGGTGAATCCAGGACTGTAGTAGTTAGCGTATTAGTTGGTGTGTAAGAGGAGTTTCCAACCACAAGCCAGTTTGCCAGTGTTAATGCTGGTTCAGCCACATTTATACACTGTTGAACATGAACACAGATATCTGAGAAACTGGTCAGTTGTGTTGATTCACCTTGCATGTCAGAAAATTATGTGGACATTGTAGAATCAACTACAATACAATTACCGCTATGTTGAATATTATTAATATAATGTATTGTTATTGATTCCACTTTCAGACCTTACTTAATGTACTTTCAGTGGACCTGTGCTGGGTTCATTGTATGATGATTCTGATTATGTGACCAGGTCAATCTTTCATTCAACTGTACATGGATTAAATTTTAAGGTGTTTTGACTCTGCCCTGAAATATACATGAGGGTACCATGAGGATTAGCATTATTTACTTCTTAAAGTGGAATCACTTCAACTTGAATTCTCTTTCAGGAGGCTCTGTGCCTCTAAGCCACTGAAATCTGTCCACTTAAAGGTTAGGTTCACGTTTTTTCAAGGCTGTCCTAAAACAATACTCACGCCCATATGTACATCGTAAGAGATATTGTTTGCTGCCAGTGTTCCTCCTCTCCATACTGGCCCTCCTGAATAATACAATGCCAACGTAAGCGATGGGAGGAGGTAAAGTCGACAGTTCTTGTTCTGTGTAAAATGTATTTAAAATTTTAGCCAGGATTAATATGAAGCTTCAGCAGTGTAAGTCTAATCTTTTCAGTATAAAATTCCCTCTTTGTGTTGCAGCTAAGCAACGAAACAGTCAAGGCAAATACAAAGAATTTTGCACTAAAATGACATTAACTTTGGAAGATACCCACTGCATTTGACTATTTGAGCCTGCTGAAGCTTCATATTGGCTGAACTGATTCCGTCAGGGAGGGATCTTCTTATGGTCACTATGAATAGGAGGAGGGATTACAGCGACTGATCGCTCTTTAAACATACATGACAAAATGTGAACCTATCCTTTAATGATATTGTAGGTGTTGCTTGTTGCCTTCATATACAGCTTTCAACTGCCAATCCTTTATTTGTTTGGATCATACGGTAAACAAACCCATTTCAAATGCCATCCAGCTTGAACGTGCTCCCATTTGCTTCTGCTTGGCAAATTCTGGAACAAAGAAAACATTAAGAGCCACTCTTCCTGAACTCAGCCCCTTGCTGCTGCCCACTGAATGCTTCAGTCTTGTGTGAGGCTAATATGTTGCTGTCTCGTGTCGTGTCCAGAGCCAATAGGAAGCATGTCGTCCATGGAGGTGAATGTGGACATGCTGGAGCAGATGGATCTGATGGACATGTCTGACCACGAAGCCCTGGATGTGTTTCTGCACTCTGGGGGAGAGGACAACAGCGCTGCCTCGCCTGTCACAGGTAGGTGGCCATAAACACGTGTTCCTGCTAAATACTCTAAATTAACTTAACTATTATAATTCATGAATACTTAATCACTAGAGGGAAATAACTCCCTGCAGCTAATCCATGTCAAACAATTCACTGAAGCATACGTATGTGACTCAGAAGATTGACAAGAACAATGTTTAGACACGATGCACCAACACCATCTGTCCACATCTACTTGGGATATTTTTTTTGTCACAGTGAACAACCTACAGCATCTAACTGACAGCTTGTCTTTATCTAAAAATAATTAGATGTAAGCGAATCTCGACCGGCGACTGAGTTGAGCAAGTTTAAACAAAACTGATGAAGTAATTCTAACAACTACAACGGTGCCTTTCTTTTATTTGCAGCTATTGGTCTAAGACAGAAACTCAATAAATAATAATAATAAATAATAGAATTGTGGTAAGAGAAAAAGGTTAAATAACTCATCCAAACACTGAAAGGAGGTTCTGATGGTATCACTGCAGCATCACTTTTCCACCTACCTGACACCCTCCCAACCTATCCTGCTATGTACAGTATTGTTGTGATTCCCAGCCGATACACTCTGGAGGCACAGACATTTTACCTTGAGATGGCTGACTGATGCCGTTTTGATCGGGGTATCAGACAGTTTTCTATATTCTACACACGCAGTTTAACACTGAGTTACAGCCTGCTTAGGAAACCTGAGATTATCTGGCGATAACCAGCCAGTGTCGTGTGAAGGTACAGGAAGTAAGGTGCTGCAGTTTTCAGGTGGATCTGGTCGTACCTCAGATAGCCTGAGGAAGGCTGCCTGAGGGAGACTGAAGACTGGGTTCAAGAGTTTTGTTCGGTTTAATGAGGTAGCATTAAGCATCTTCCAGTCCTACACCATCAGTTTAGTAACAACTCAAATTCAATTAAAGACAAATCAGTTAAATTTTCACTGAAGCACCAAACTTAAGTGTTTAAATAACAACGTTCAACTGAGCATCAAGTACTTAAACTGAAATAGTTAAATTTAGCATCAAACAGTTACACTAAAAATGGTCAGCCTGTCCCAGAGAACAGGCGGCGTTCGGGGAAGAGAACAACACCAGGAACTTTAATCTGATTCTTAATCTGATCTTTAATCTGAGTGTACAATCTGTTTTTAATTAGGGTTTAACAAATCTTATGATATAGATGTTAATGTCCTCTATGTAAAAAAAGGTATTCTAATTATGCCGTATCATCATGCTTGCTGGTATTCAGCAAAAAATTCTCTCTTTACCTCAAACACAGTCAAAAAGGAGAACCTTTGTCGCAGCGGTTCAGGTTTGATTCCAGCCTGTGGCCCTTTGCTGTGTGTCGTCCCTGTTTTCCCCCCTTTTCTGTCTATTTTCACCTGTTCTATCATAATAAAGGCATAAAAAGCCCCAATAGAATAGAGCTATCTTCCATATAAAGTCAAACATAAGGCGTATAAAAGACACTGCATAAGGCTCGACATAAAGTTGTTTCATTAATGTTATAAGTTGCGTTATTAAGCAAGCCATGACTATTTTTGATCATGTCAGTTGCAACCAGGGTGTTCTGTGCAGTGGAAAATGTTTAGTAATGTTTTGCACAAGGAGAGATGCACAGTGAATAAAGGTCACACAGGTGCTGCAATGGGTGAGATAGGATGCTGCAGTCAAGTATGAAGCTTTTCAGTGTTTGATTTTGGTCCTTTTTTGTGTATCATAGTTCAGTGAGGCGTCAAAGGTGTGAGCCCTGGCCATATTACATCTAGCTGGATCTCTCAATAACAAAGTCTGAAACTATCTAAGTGACTCCCCTTCCTCCCAGGTCCAGATGTTGAGTCCTTCACCACAGAGATCAGTCTCCAGGTTCCCACCCAGGCTGAGCTACGCCACAAGCTTTCTTCCCTTTCATCCACCTGCACCGACTCAGCCAGCCAGGACACGGAGGCCGGGGAGGAGGAGGAGGACGATGAGGAGGAGGAGGAGACTGAACATGGAGGAAGTGGAGGTGTTGCAGGATCAGGGGGCGGAGTAAGGAGGAGAAGGCCCCCCGTGGTGGTGACCCTGGACGAAGAGGAGGTGCACCCTGATACAGCGCTGGTGGACGTGGTGGACCGAGAGGAGCAGGCCAGCAAAGACTGTGCGGAGAGCAGGCCGAAGGTTTGAGGAGAGACGGGACTGAATTCAAACACAAACACACAGAGCTGTGAAATCAAACATAGATTGGCTTCCTTTCTCAAATTCCTTTCATACTGAAGAAAAACATGTGAACGAAAATACACAGAGGTTGCACTAACTGCCACATGACCTTGCCTTAAAAGACCACTAATGTGAGTTTTCAATTCTAATTGAATCATGTAAAATAGGTTTGAGTTCCCTTTAGCATAATGAAAGGCTTAACATGCACATAAATAGTTCAACATTATTCAGAGAACGCTCTAATATTCTGTTTGTGCATGTTGAGACCGGGAGAGGCTACTGATAAGTTATAGAGTAAAGTATACACTAAACTCATCCATGTGTCCCTGTTATGGTTCTTTGTTTTCGTGCTTCATGCTAACATGTAAGCATTCACTGTGCTGACAGACTGCAGCTGTCAAGCATTAATATATGTGTTGGTGATTGGTGAAACCTTTGCACAATAGAAATATATGATGGTGTCTTTTTAACCAAATGTTGCAATAAGGTAAAAGGCTATCACCAGCTCTATCATTTATGACCTTTTATTTTTAAAACTTACTGCAGGTCACATAAAGGAAATATTTTTTTAAATCATTAAAAGTTGAGTCTTCTTTGGACTGTATGTTGTCACCCAAATTATGAAAAAAAAATCTCACTTATCTCTAGTGGAATTTAGCCATGCAGATAGTTTTGGTTTTTATTTCCCCCATGTCTTGGTATATCTGTCTTCGGAGATTTTTGCTGCTACCCCAATGCAACGGAGGTGAAAGGAATATTGTTTTTAATGCTTAAAGTGTTGAAAAATAAGGTTGAAAATCATTTAAAAACTTTAACAGTAGCTTGTCTTTCCAGAAACAACTTCCAGGTTAGCTGAATAATTCATAATGTCACAGAAACTGTGATATTGCCAAACTAGATTGCTAGACTACATTCTTTTTCATAATTTGGCTGAATTGACCCTTTTTAATGTGGCAAACTCTAACAAAAACAGCACGAAGCACTTGACAAATGACCTTCAGGGGGCACATGGATGATTTTTTTTCTATGACTTTATGGATAAGCTGAACCCCTAAAGCTTGTTGCTTTTCTTTAAATGGTTTATGAGCTACATTCTGCGATATTTTAAATGTAAACTACCCATTAGATTATACTCTTGTGCCATCGGCTTTGAAAATCATAGCGTAGTAACTGGCAGTCACCTGGCAGTGGGTCATATACCACATAGTACTGTATAGCTGACAGACTGGTGGAGTTCAGGTACCTGATTTAACACAAAAAGACACACACACACACACACACACACACACACACACACACACACACACACACACACACACACACAGAGAGAGAGAGAGTGTTACCCATTGCCATTCCTTTGACCAATAATATTTGGGTGAACTTCTCTTTTTGAACGAGGACCAAATCCCTGTTTGGACTGTGTGCTATGCACTGGACAACACGCAGAAGGTTTAACTGTATCCAGATTTTTTTGTACAGAGATGTTGACATTTGTGCGATGTGACAGCATTACTCCTTCCTTTCTTTTCCCCTGCCTACAATTTCTGACTTGTTGGTAATAAATGTTTCTCCCCCAGCATTGTTTAATTTTCATCAAAGCATTTCAGGAACACGTTAAAGAATTAAATGTGAGCAGGATTTAGGGGTTTGAGCATGTTAACAGTCCCCGTGCGCCCAGTCTTGATTTACAGCCCTGCCGGAGCTCTTTACAGATGGAAAGCTTACACGGTGAAGGAATGGATAGGTGGACAGAGTTTCTGCACGAAAATAAAAAACACTTTGAAATACAGGAGTTTTCTCATGGGCAGGAAGATATTTTACCATGTATGTATTCATTATTAAAGTTAAATGTTTATTAACTGATAAATAAGGAAAAGCAATACCAGTGTTACGCTGAGAGTGAATGGCATTTGAAGGCTGAGAGTGGATGTGTTCATTGTGAATAGTAAATAGCTGGTGTCAGTGTATTACAGTCACTCCAGTGCACTTTAATTAAGGTTACGAAGAACTACAGGGTCCTCCGACAGTTAGCATGTGCAATGTGTGACGTGTGAATAGCCTGATAAGCTCTGTGTTAAATTCACATAAGAGCACTTCTAGTCTACCCCACACCTGCTGCTACTCACTATGGAACTCGATAATGCCACGGTACAACCTTTGTTTTTGTATTGTCTTAAAAGGGTCAATTTACCAAATGAAACCAAACCTTGTATATTTTCACTTAGTGGTATCTATCTAGCAACGGCAATAGTTTGGGTTTTATTTTTTCAAATTTTGAGATGCCTCCATCACAATACGATAAAAAGGTGCATGGAAATGTGTCCATGGAGCTCACATCATTCAAAAAAAAAAAAAAAATCTATCAGTAGTCTTAGAAAAAAGCCGAAGCAATCCACCTCACTGTCAACAGTTTAAATTAGAACAATGTTCTTACAAAAGAATTTTGTAATTTTGGTGAGATGGCCCTTTAACATTACTAGACTCCACCAGATAAGAACTTTAAATCTATATTATGAAGCTGTTAAACCCCATTTGTTCTTGCAGTCATGTCAGAAGTCACACACAAAGAGACACAAAGCAGGTTGGAAAGAAATGACCGTGAATTGTCGGTAAGTTTTTATTAAACCTTAAGTACAAACTGCAAAAGTAAAAAACTGTCAATATAACCAACATCAGACTCTCTTTCCAAGTGGAGGGAAAGGCCGAGATGCGGCACTAATAAATTAAGTCACCAGAGACCCCACCGTGAGCAAGTAGTTTATACTGTAGAAAATGGAAGAAAACAAAAAACAAAACAAAAAAACAGAACTGAAAAACAAAAAAAAATCCCATCAGAATAAAATATATTGTAAGGCCATAAAAACTTGACAACCACTTTTTATTATGTTGAAAACACCCAACTTGGTATTTCATTAAATAGTCCTAAAACAGTTCAGTCTTCTGCGAGGGACGACAACCAACAAACTGGATTATAGGATTTTTCCTTGACAGTCACCACTGGCAAGCTCAGTGCAACATGAGTAGCTACTACATTTTTGTTGAATTTTCAGTAATGAAAATGTAAAAATCCATTTTTTTTTTGTGAACATATCTTTTTTTCCCTTTTCTTTAAAAAAGTAAAGCTAAACAAACAAAACTAGGTTGGGGGGCAGTTATTGGCTACTCAATATCTTCTTTCTTAGTGATATAAGCAGCACTTAAAATTTTTATACACGTTTTACCAGAGCAACCCTGTAAGCATCAAACTCACATGGATGAAGAAAGGGAAAATGTAAGGCTTTTTCTTCATCAAGCACTCTCCTCTGGAACTTTTTCTCTCCCCTATTCCTTCCTTTCTTTCTTCCTTAACCCCAGAAAAAGGCTCAAGTATTTAAAGAAATTTACAGGATTATGTACAAAAAAAGTTGATGTTTTGCTTGTGTTGGACTTTTTCTTCTGTCTAGAAATCACTCATAATATATCTGGAAAAGGGAAAAAAAATGCAAAAGCCAAAAAAACCAAAAGACAATAAAGAAACAAAACAACCAAAACTTGGATTTGATATTTCACATTTTACACTCTTTGACTAGTGGCTCTACTTGAGATAACACATCAGATCAACAAAAGTAAAAAACACAAAATAATAATAATAATATAATATAATAATTAATGTTTACTGGTACAGATGAAACAAGAGGACTGGAAGAATGGAATGTTAATATGATTGCACATCTAGAACCAGAAAAGCCTGAAAGCCTTTCTGCCCTGTGGGGTGGGGGCGCGTGAGCTAGCTGTTAGCCGATAGCAGGCGCTAACCCCCAGATTTAACATTTTTGTGTTGTTATACAGTAATTATAATCAACAGCACCAATAAAATGGATCTCCTTGCTAAGTATCAGGCACGGTTTTCACTTGCTAGCGAAGGAGGGATCCCTCCATACTACCAGGAAGTGAGGTGAGCGATGACCTTTCAGAGGTCAAGCAGCTGTAGCTTTGCCCCCTCTCACATCCACCAACGAACAGAAACATCCACAATGACAAAAATCAAATACACAGAAGACTTCTTGCAAAAAACCTAGCAAAAACAAAGCTAAAATTCAAAATAGAACTTGAAAAAACATAGCCAACCAACAATAAACCAACATCGTCTGTCTTTCAAGTTTTTACCTCGCGTCGCCACCCCCCCTTTTTAAAAAAAAACAAACAAACAAACAATGCAGAAGCTGCATCAAGAAAGAATAAAATCAATAAAAAAGGACTCCTCTTCCTCAAACCAAGGACAGAGAGAACTTTGGGTAACTACTTGTCATTTTCATTTCAGACAACTGGGGAGAAAAAAAAAAAAAAAGGCCGCCTTTTCATTTGTCCCATGTTCACAGCTGAGTGACGCATGATGAGAAGGTATGGGGTTCAGTCTCAGGGGCGAGATGAGGGCAGGAAAGAGTGATGCAAGAAGAAGGTAACAAATGTAACCCATTTCAGTTAAGAGAAGATGAGGGTGGAGGTAAAGGGTATACCAGGGCCCCATCAAGTCTTCTTGTGAATGTTACACTTAATGCTTGTAATGTTGTAAAGGACGACTTAAAGAGGGACGGGGGATTCTAAGATCATCCAGAATAAAAACAAATTCTTCTTTCACACTAGTGCAAAAAAGACATCTTGCTGTTCCTTTTTTCTTTTCATCTTTATAAACAAGCCTGTCGTACTAAGGGGGGAGGTGAATATTTTTTTTGGAGGGGGGACTGAGGTCAGGTGAGGGGATTTTCAAAGCTCAAAAACAATCAATCTTTAAATATTAGGTGGTGGAGGAGGGATTGATAGTGACCCTGCTTAATGTAACAAAATAAAATAAAAAAAACACACACAGGGGAGTTTGGGAGGGCTCAGGGAGGGGCAGGACGTGGGCACAGCGCACCGGGCGTTGGTGTCAAGGTGTCCCCCTCAGGACACAGCAGCGGCCTTCGGTATGTGGCTGGAGGACAGGCGTGCCAGAGACACCTCCACAGTGGCGCGCTTTCGGGGGCCTCGCTTAGCCGGCGATGCTTTGGCGGGGCTTAAGCCGTGGCAAGGGTCCCCTCCTCCTGCACTGACAACGACTGCACCAACACCACCACCACCACCACCACCACCACCGCCGCCGCCGCCGCCACCTCCGTTCTTTAACATGGCCCGGCCACACACCTGGTTCACCAAACTGTTGATTTGCTCCTGATTGAAATGAACAGAAAAAATACAGATTAACAATTCATACACTGTAGGAATTACAGCATTCACACAATACATTATAGTACATGAAGACTGTCATGCTGAATAATCCACTTCCTGGAGCTGTGGAAAGCTAGCTGATGTCGCCCCCATCTGGGCAGAGAGAGAACTGAACCACAGCAGAAACAAACAGTGGCGCCTCACCTCATCATATCGGTACATCATCTTAAGACCTCTGCAGGACTTGTGCTTCTCTACAAAGCGCAGGGCACACTCCAGACAGAAGACCACATTGTCAGTCTCCTGAACCACCTGCACAGACAGACACCGAGACAGAGATATTACTATAGAAACCAGACACTCAACTCGCAGTTCTTTTATTATTGAGATAGTGAGAAACCTGATAAATCATTGAAATATCTTCCACTCAGACTGGAAGTTAGTACGTTTGCATATATTACCATCTTCATCTCATTCTGATAACATTGTTATACAGTTTTATTAGATTTAATCATCTCAGTTTAGATACTACTGAGCCATAATATATATAAAAATAAATAGGAATATTATTATGTACAGCCGGTAGTAGTTAGTGCAGTATATAAACTGTATGTTTTATAGCAGGGCATAATGCTAAATAATACTAGAAAAATTAAAGCCACTACTATGATTGATTTCATGAATAAATATTGACTACAAACTTTCTCCAAAGACTGCCTTGGCTGACAAAACTAGACTATGTTTACTATATTAATTAAGTAAAATGCCAAAATGTATCCAAACTAGCACTACAGGATTTTAGAAAATGAATCCTCATATCTTTTAACCATTCACGTTAAACTAAAAGGTCCTCTGCTCTCACCATGGAAAGGTAGCAGAGATGCTGACAGATCTGGCAGCGTCTCTCTGAGGACTCCAGTGCCAGCCATTTCCCGCGGGGCTTCTTGCGTCCCTCTCCAGGCGCCAGGCTGCCATCATGGGTGCCGTAGCGGGCAGAGGAGAGCAAACCTGCCTTTTTAAGTTCCCCCCGTTGGCGTATCTCTATGTTCCTATCAAACAAGAAAGATACCAAGTTAAAGCCAGAAAATAACTTTAATGCTAGCTATATATTGCTCAAATAACATACATGAATTAAAATAAAATACAGTATGAATATACCTTTAATGCAACATTTGATTGCTTTCTTAAACCAATAATCAAAAGCATGTGGAAATAAACTTCTGTAATTTAATTTTCAGCTGCAGATAAAATCCTACAGCTTAGAACAGTAATAGTATTGTGCTGCATCCTACCTGAGGTCTTGGAGTAGGGCGGAGATGGTGGTGAGGAGAAGGCCATTGTCCCTCTTGGATTCGGCCGTGGCGATCTGGTACAGTAGCTTCTCCATGGAGA